ACCATTGACCACAACTCTCTGAGTGCGACCATCCAGCCAGTTCTTTATCCACCGAGTGGTCCATCTGTCAAATCCATGTCTCTCCATTTTAGAGACAAGGTTGTCATGTGGGACAGTGTCAAACGCCTTGCACAAGTCCAGCAAAACGACATCTGTTGCTTTACCCACGTCAACCAGCGCTGTAGCTTTGTCGTAGAAGGCCACTAAATTAGTCAGGCACGACTTGCCCCTAGTGAAGCCATGTTGGCTGTCACCAACCACTTGGTTATTTTTTATGTGCCTTAGTACAGCTACCAGGAGAATCTGTTCCATGATTTTACCTGGCACAGAGGTAAGGCTGACTGGTCTGTAGTTTCCCGGGTTGTCCTTGGTCCCTTTTTTAAAGATGGGGGTTACGTTTGCCCTTTTCCAATCTGTAGGAACCTCACCAGACTGCCAGGACCTCTCAAATATGCTGGCTAGTGGCCTAGTAACTGCAGCCGCCAGTTCCTTCAGGACCCATGGATGTATCTCATCAGGTCCCATGGACTTGTGCTTCTTGTGTTTTCATGTTTCTATAAAGCTATGTTGAGGCTTCAGGAATATTTTAGGAAAGAGAATAAGATTTCTGTCTTTGAGCTATAAAAATCTGCAAAGGAATTTTTTTAAAAACTAACATTTTGCCTTTTTGGGAAAGCACTTCTCCTATAATGAGGATTTTAAGTTTTTTTTTTTTCTTTTAGGTGGTAATTTTTTGCCTTCTTTAAGATCAGTGTCAAATCTTTCTTGAAGACTGAATTTACTGACAAAGCTTCCTTTGGAGCCTCTCAGACAATTAGTGAGCTAGCTACCTATCTCATCGGATGTGTAGGAATGTCAATTAGGACACCCTGTGTTCGAGGTACCAAATTTAAAATTGCATTTGGCAAAAATTGAACAGAACAGAGTATATGGAACCTTAACTTGAAAAATCTGAAAAATCCCAGCCTAGTTTAAAATAGCCATCCCCTAAGATGAAATCAGTTGTCTGCTTCTTAGTTATAACAAAATCTTCAAGGCCAAATGTTGAGAATTTCTACTGTAAGAGCCTGGCAAGAGGAGAAAGTTACTTACTAGTAACAGGAGTTCTTTCAGACGCTGAACTGATATACATTTACACTGCTAAGTGTACATATGCTTTATCCCTCCAGACCTCAAAAATTTTACTTTTGAGTGGATCTAGAAAGACATAGATTTGTCTGTGCTTTGCGATATGTCAGCCTTCATGCATTCAAAGGGGAGAAAGCTCAGCTTGCTAAGGATGGTATGATGAGATGTGGCTGGCATTTGCTTCTACCATCTGTGGACTCCTGGGCTGCATGAGGCATT